CAAAGGCATCAATTCTCCTTCTATCCTCCCTGGTCATTGTCCAACTCTCTGATGCATAACAAGTGATTGGTGACTAATTCACAAGACTCTTTTCAGTCACTTGCTGGTCAGGACTGTGTCCTTTGGCTTTAAATAGTAGTTTCTGGCTCCACCAGAGGCGCTGTGTGTGTGAGTTCAAACTACGTGTGATGTGAGTGGAATTGGAGTGCAGCTGGTAGGGAGGCAGGGGAGCGTTGAAGGAGTCCCTGATGGGCCTTGTCTGCCCTGCCTTGCTGCTGGGCCAGCCTTCTGGAGCTGGGGCTGCAACAGAGGAGGGAAATGGTTTTGGTTGAGCTCAAACCAAGCCCTCAAATTCAACATAATCACCAACACCTAGTGGATGGGCATGGGCCGTGGATGGGCATGGGCCGTGGATGGGCATGGGCCATGGATGGATGCTGGGCTACCCTTGCCATGCTGGTGCTAGAAGTTTAGATTTCTTATCTCCTAGGTTCTAGGGTTTGAGAGGGTGACCCCTGGATGAAAGGTCTGAAGGATTCTGCAAGACGGTGGATTCTATCAGGACTTTTCTCCTTCCTTCTGAGCAGAGAGGCTTAGGGGAAAAGGGTTAGGAATCAATCTGCTTCTGGGTAAAAACCTAGTCACTGAAAATGTCATAGGGCAGTTTTACTTTCCATGAGTTAGAAAAAACTTGATGGGAACTGGGTTTCATGTCAACCAGTCTATGCCTTAGGGAGAGTAAGGATGACTTCAAAGATATTCAGCACCTGGGGTTCCTGTGTGGCATTGATTCCCTTCTCTCCACTCTGCTCCTGAGGACAGTGGCAGCATGCAGGAGGCATCAGTGTCTAAGTGACTGGCTGACCAAATGAGCAGAGTGGACAGAGGGAGGGCTATGTAAGAGGCTAAGGAAGAAAGAGAAGCAGAGGGACATTTCAGAGTTACTGACACTGGGGGAGAAGACAGGATGGACAGGATGTGCCTAGATGGACAAAAGGGAAGCACATCTCTTTTAGATCAGACCAACAGGGATCAGACATCCTTTCCTGCTCTCTAAGTTGTTCTAGTCGGGTAGCTGAGCTGCTGAGAGAAGCTGTGTCCTGCATGGTCCTGGCTGGTAACTCAGTGAAGGGGGGATGGTTGCATCTTGGGGGCAGCTGAGAGCAATGTGAGCCTATGGCGTCTCTCTGGGGAAATGGGAGGCTGGATTAGATTGGACCAGGCCCAAGGAATGTTCCTCTCAATTAGCAAATTACTCATTGCCTTCTCCCTGTCCCTGGGGGAGTCTGCAGTGTGTCCTCACCAGACTCATGGCTTTTCACCCAGTAACACAGGGAAGGGCTGAGAAAGAGTCCCAGGGGAAGTGGCAGACTATGTGTGCTGGGACCAGGGTGAGGAGGTTCTCAGAGAGGCTGAGAGGAGGAGCGGATTGTCCTATAGTTTACTGGAAGTGATGCACACCAATCAAATCTTCTGCAAACCAGCCCTGGTGTTTACTTGTCAAGTAAATACACACTCTGAGATTGTGTGTGTGTAATGCCAAAAGGAAGCACTAGTCACCCACTTCCTTCCTCATCCTGAGATCTGTGGTAAATGAAAGTCAGAGTTCCAGGCTCCAACTTAAAGTGGTTCATTAACAATAAAACCCCCAAAATCCATTAGGTAGTGTTCGCAGTGTCTGGGGATAGCTTACCTTCTGATATCAGGTTGAGAGTAGCACTGCTCACAGCTAGAATTGGATTCAGGTCTGAGTAGCAATGCCTGCTTACAACATGTCCCCCTAAGGACTAAGGAGAGAAAGAGAGGAGAGAAGAGAGGGAGTAGAGGAGAGAAAGAGAAAAGAGAGAGTGTTACATCCTTCATTGCACCTCCAAGTTCCTCTACCCCACAGGTACCTCCCTACAGCTTTTTTCAGTGACTTGTGAAAGGGACCAGAGGAGTCTCAGTAAATTCAATATTTTTCTGCTTCACAGAGAGGACTTAGTACAGCCCCGCTCTACTCTGGCTTGGGAGAGGAATCAACTCCAATGAGCTCTTACATAGCACTTGGCATGTTCTACTGCATGCTGTTTAACTCCTGTACATATATTTGTTCATTTAATCTCCACAAACCCTCAGTGAGATTGATGTCCTTATGCTCATTTTATACCTGAAGATGTTGGGGGGTGATCACTAGGCTGCTGTGGTCTGGCCTGGAGCAGGTCTGGGAACTCCCTTGCTTTACTGGACAGTTCACTTGAAAGTCCTTTTTCCACCGAGCTGAAATCTGTCTCTCAGTCTCCACACATCCAGCACTCCTCTACCTTTGGTGATGCATCCCATCTGTCTTTATCTGTATTTACAGTTAGAAGACTCTCACATCTTCTGACAATGTCCCCACCTGTACCCCCTCCAGGCTTGACCTTTAATTGTGGTCATCAGTCCATCACTCTCCTGCCACCATCTCTTTGCAGCTATGGGGTACCTCATCAGAGTTCTCAAGCTGGGAGATAACACAGATGCAGCAAACATGTGCTCTCCCTAGACCTCACGTCCCAAGAATTCACAATGTACCATTCGGCACACGTAAAGGGAAGAGGTAGGTGTATTTTAGAAAATCACTTTTAAGTTCAACTTCCTTATCTGAACATTGTTTTCCAGCTTGGAGGTGAATAGTCTAGAGGAGAGAACCTTCCCCTCTAAACCCTCCTGGTTGTAGATCTTGTATTTTGGTTAGCAATTCCTAAGGCTCATTGACAGTCTTACAGTGAAATTAGCAAACGCATGGCATTCTTTCCCTCCTACATAGCTACTTAGCCACTTAAATGAACTCAATTTCTTTTTTATATATCCTATTAAATAACGTTTGCTTGGCCCTTTCTTTCAATCTTCTGAGTTCTGTTTGCACACTGATGGTGCCAACATTTCACTAAGAAAGAGCGCCACGTGCCCATTGATCCCATCTGGGAACATACTGCCATATTCCGGATCTGCTGGCCTCCCAGGCTCTTCAGCTGTTTTAGGAGGGCTCGGTATGCCTTCGTCTTCTCCTCTGGGAGGCTGGAAACCGTCTCAGCCAAGAGGTCCTTCACCTGGGCCAGGCTGCAGCCAGCACCGATTGTCAGTCCTGGAAAGCAAGTTGTTTTTAATCAGTGAGGCTGGCAGAGTACTCCTAGTGGGCTCATCACAGAGCCAGGTACCAGCTAGGACACTGACTCTCCTGCCTGGTTGCACAAAGAATCACCAGGGGCCTCAAAACCAACACAGATACCTCATTTCTAAATCAGTTCAATCAGAACTGCTGAGGTTGGGGATTTTAAAGAGGCTCCCTAGGTGGTAATCTCCGTTCAGCCAGGGTTAAGAAACCCTGAGCAAGACCACAGTTACTCTTTGAACAAATGAGGAAACAAAAGATTGGAGAGAGAGAAGGAATAATAGAAATGGGCAGATGACAGACTCTACCAGAACTTTCCATGACTGCAAGTTACTGAGCAGGTGAAGTGATGCAAAAGTGTGACAACATCTTTGGTTGATTTTTGATTGGTGTGTGGTCTTGGGGATCTGATGGCATTAAAATAGTAGCCAGTTCACTCAATTCCCTGGACCACTGTCTGTAATCAGCAGTGCTCTAACTGCTGACTTTTAGACCTCCATACGTAGTGGCCAGGCTCAGTAACCGGTCTCCGAGGGCCACCAGCTCATCTGAACAGACAGAACTCACACAGAGTCGTCCCAGGCATTATCCCATTGGTTGTTAGGAGTGGGAAAGTTGGAAGTCCCAGGAGAAGAGCCTAGGAACCCCTGAGCAGTGGTATAGCACCCAGATGTTAGGGCAATGGTGTTTGGTAACCAACAAGAAAGATGTTAATGACCGAGACAGCCATACTTGGGGTTAGTGGCGGGATATTGGCACTAGCTTCAGGATTTCTGTACTGTAATGATGCAAGGGGATCAAATCAGCCTTCACCAGGAAAGGAGCCTGGGGGAGAGGGCGGAATCTCGATACCATCAAGAAGCATCAGAGAATAAGTGTGTCCTTTTGGGCTGGAGATTCCTGCACTAGGTGGAGACCCCGACCTTATCATCATCAGCAGAGACTGACAGGAGACAGAGTGTAGCTGAAAGCGCTTCCACAGGGACCCAAAGTGGGGGCGTTTGCCCAGGCTTCTTGGAGAGCTTGCTGAAGACACTGCAACTAGCAGGACTGAGAGCTTCGTAATGTTGGCTGAAGACATGAGGCTGAAGGGCAGAAGGCCAGCAAGAACACCTGAGAAGCTGTTTTGACAGAAGAATTGTATCACATTTCAAACCTGAACTGGTACCCATTATTCCCCATAATCACTGAGGTAAAAACAAAAAAAAAGTTAAGTAATCTGAAATTGTAGCCCAAAGCCAACCAACTGCCATAGAGTAGATTCCAACTCGCAATGACCCTGTGGGATATAACTGAGCAGCCTCTCAGGGCTTCCAAGGCAGAAACTCTATGAAGCAGATTTCTGACTCATGCCCGCAAACCCCAGCACAGCTAGTGAATTTGAACTGCAGGAGCAGAGCAATTGCTCTTTACTGCTATCTTTGGTGGCCTAGAGGTAAGGACCTGTGCTGCCAAAACAAAGACACCTGGTTCAAATCCAGCTGGCCTGCAGGAGTAAGATGGTCAGTCAACTTCCGTATGATTTACTGCCTCAGAAAAGCCATGGGGAGGCCAGCTATGAGTCAGTTCTGACTCAACGGCACATAATAACAACAGAAGCACAAAACTTAATTTTCTGTACCACCAGGGACCCTTAACAATTAGGAGAGAACTTTTTAATTAGTCTTTCATTCCCCTGGTGTTTGTTTGTTGTTGGTGTGTACTGTTGAGTTGGAAAGGACCCATAGCTGACCCCCCAGCGGGTTTTCAGAGGCAGTGAATTGCATGGGAGGAGATGGCTCATCTTTCTCCCGTGGAGAAGCTGGTGGTTTCAAACCTCGTGTTTATATGATGAAATGCTAATACAAAGAGTCCAAGCTGACATCACTAACAGGATTGGTGGTCTAGTGGGTAAGGAGCTGTACTGCCAACCCAAAGGGACATGGTTCGAATCCCCCAGTTGCTCGAAGGGAGAAAGAAAGGAAATCTTTCCTGTGTGATCTACAGCCTCTGAAAACTCACTGGAGGGTCAGCTGTGAGTTGGCTCCGTCTGGATGGTATTGAGTTAGTTAATCAGTTATCTAATTAAGGATTGGGTTCTAATTTCATTTAGTCTGTTTTTAGCAGATTTCAGGCAGGGCTTTGATTTTTCTATTATTGATAAATTTTAAAGAATATTTTGCTTTTCCACAAATTTTATTTTATCTACATTAAAAAATATCTGGCACAGTACTATCCACTTCCTGACAACATACCCATAAACACCCTTGCCTTTTTAATAATCTCAGCCAGCTTAATTGAGTAAGAAAGTAATTACCTGCTTCTTATTATCTTGATGCTAAGCAAATCTTGACTGAAATGACTTGCTTCTCCACTCTGGAGGGAACTAGCCTCATTTTAGAGCTTCCAGCATAATACTGTCTCAACATCTCCTAACAAACACTCCACAATGGGATCTGGCTTGTGAGCTGTCTTTTCACCCAACATCCCACTGGAGCATAGTCTTTAATTTCTGCAACGATTCTACCACTGTTTTAGGCCACTGAAGTGCTGGGAAGACCTAGCTTGTTTCCCCATCATACATGCCTTCTGTTATTGATCTTAGTAACTACTGTCATCAAATCTATTCTGAGTCATAGTGACCCCGTAGGAAAGAGTCAAATAGCCCACAGTTTCTAAGACTGTAAATCTTTGCAGAAAAAGACTCCCTTATTATTCCAAGGGGTGGGTCCTGGATTTGAATGATTGGTGGGTGTGAACCACCAACCTTTTGGTTGGTAGTTGAATTCTTCAGCCATTACACCACTAAGACTCCACTATAAACCTTCCTTAATTTGATGCCTTTGAATTGTGGTGTTGAAGTACAGAATATCCCATGGACCACCAAAAGAACAAACAGAAATGCCTTGTAAAAAGTGCAGCCAGAATGCTCCTTGGAGGTAAGAATGGTGAAGCTTCATCTCATGTACTTTGGGCATGTGGCTAGGAGAAGCTATTTCTTAGGAAAGCACATCATGCTCAGAAAGGTGATGGGTCAGGGAAAGAGAGGAAGACTCTCGATGAGATGGATGACACAGTGACAGTGGGCTCAAATGTGTCAGAGATGGTGAATACAGCACAGAATAGGACAGGGTTCAGGTCTGTTGTTCATAGGGTCGTTATGGTTGCACTTGACTAGATGACACCTAACAACATGTTGTTGTTGTT